GGACGGCACATCCAGAACACACCATCCACGAAAGCTGCAACGTTCTTCTTCATGTCGCCAATGTCCCGCACCGTTGCCGCGAAGCGCAGTAGATGTATACTCGGAGGTGGCGGGGAGTAGTCATCAGCAGCAGCAGCAGCAGCAGCTTGGATAAAAGGCGCCTGGTCTCTTGAGACATCGAGATAGTGGAAGTGCAAGTCTACTCGGGGCTGAGTGCTGCTACTGCTGAAGCGGAAGAGGAACTGCCTCAACTCAATGAGCCACTGCCTCGTGGTCGCCTCCGGCACTTGAATGAAGCATCGGCAGGTTGATGCCACGTTGACCAAGTTGAGGTTGCTCAATGGGAAGCCAGCAGGGGAAGTGGTGAAGTTGAGGGTAACCAAATCAGTAGCGTCGATCTCGAACTCGAGCTTAAGCTCCCGCCGTACCTCGCTGCCGAAAGCATCTTCCAGCGTCAGTGTCCTCAGCTTGGGCGCGGACAGCCTCACCCTGCCGCGCCTGGTCACGTCGAGGCAGAGCGTGTCCAGCGAGGGGGAGCAGCGAGAGACGAATTCATGGAGATCCAGCATCGTGAACGCGAGGAACACGCCGAGGATCTTCAGCACCCTGAGATTGGGAGCCGAAAAGGAATGCTCCACGGCCAGCCCGACTAATCCGCACACGGTGTCGATCTCCAGAGTCTCCAGGACAGGGGCGGCTGTAGCGAGGCGGATTTCTTGGAGATCGGAGAGGCCGCGGATCTGGATGGTCTTCAGGCTCTTGGCGGTGGAGGCGATTGCCAGCCTTGATATGCAGCAAACGTCTTCCAACCGCAATGACTCGAGGAGAGGAGCGCTCGTCAGGAAGCTGCGGAGTAGCTGCTCGCTCAGCGCGACGTGGTTGAGATGGACAACCCGAAGCATTCCGAGAGATGACACGTTACTGATGCTGTCTGTGAGATCGCAACCCACGAGATTTACAACTCGTGTGTGCTCGGGAAACGCCATCCCTCGCGGAAACTGGTAATAACTTTCGATGCCTGCTTCAATGGTGAAGTCAACCAGCGGGCCAGGGGATAATGGAGATGTAGATGATGATGATGATAGGCAGCGGCAGATGGACAGCAGTAACTGGTCCAAGTAATCGTGGCAAGATTCAGAGACGATTGAGATCCTGAATTCCACCAGTGGAAGCGGAACAAGTAGAGGAAGCCTCCTCGAAGCAGCGGCTACGAATCGGCAGAACGACGCTGCTTCTTCTGCTGCAGGAGAAGGAGAAGAAGAAGAATTGCGCCATCTTCTTGGTGAGAAGAAGCTGCTGGCTCTCTCTTTTCCTACCGAACAAGAATCGCCACCGCCGTGGAACTCCAAGACAGGGTAGCAGCGCCAGAGATCGCGCCATCGTCTGGACAGCAGGCTGGTTCTGGCCGCCGTCTTTGTCGAGTTCGTGGAGCGAAGGATGTGGTGAATGATATCGTCTGAAAGTTGAGAGATCTTGTCTCTCTCATCATCTCTGTCATTTTGTTTACTCCCAAAACATATACAGCTCGCCATTGTTTTGTATATGGGGATCGTGCATGAAACAGAGTGACATGGGAAAACCAGAGTAGAAGGAACCCATACTGCAATTTATATGTAAGGACACGGCTTAGCATCCTTCTTGTTAATTACAAGGGGAAAACCTTGGTGTACAAGGCAAGCTAATTAATACATACAACGCTAATTAGGAAGAAGAATAGCTACCTTTCCTTCTTTGAATCCGCGCAACTAACTAGTTAGTTTCAGGACTCTAATATAGTAACCCTATGAAATATTGTTTTTTTCCTTTCAAATTCAACTGCTCCTTGTCACTGCAATAATGCCTACGTTATGCGCATCCTAGATTGCCTCTCTGCATCGACCAACGATAAATCTTGCTTATCAATGAAGCCGCAAAGCACTAGAGAGGGAAATTATTCCTACAACAATCCTCCATCGTGTTGACAAAGGTTCAAGCAAGCAACCCACATCAAAATGTTAACAGGTACAAAGCACTTCTACAACACAACAGATTTTGCTGATGGTGAGATTGGACTCCCAAGAATTCGGCTACAACATGATCCCGCCGCAAATTGCTGAAGATTTTTGAATCTGAAGCGAGATATCTCAAAAACTGCTTACTGTTTGGCTCAGAAAATGTATGCCGAGGCAAGGGCAGTCAGCACTGTGGTCAGAAGTACGGAGACCAAGTTCACGGCGTTGTTGTCCAGAATGCTGATCCCTGAGATCCTCTTGACCGTCGGTCCAGGTTTTCCAACAACCTGCAAGGACAAGGAAAGATGAACAGGTGTTGAGCTCAGCAGCAGCTTAAATTTTTAGTGGTGCGGTTTCTTTCACAATTTCAGAGAGGAAAATCGTCATCAAAGAGTCAGGCATACTTTCTGACGAACGGTGCAGAATCCACTGAACTGCAGTGTCGCACCAAGTAGAGAATCGATTGTACTCCCACAGAGTCCTGCTACTGCAGACAGTGGTATGACAAAGAGCTGCTTCAGAGCGACATCAAAGGAGCAACTTGTTGTGAGGAATCCCAGGAGCACGAATGCAAGTCCTATGAGACCTCCTGCTGCTGCAGCCGCTAGGAATCCATCTTTAGTCACACCACCATTTGTACCCTTCCGAACAGGCTGATATGTCATTCGAAAGAAAACAAAATCAGCAAATCAGAATCTGACAATCACCCAATTACCTAGCATTGACTTTGCGCAGAAATGAAGACTAAACATGCAGGAGCTATCATCCACCGGGAACGTGGAAAGTGATCCGATGAAAATGGAAGGTATCAGCAGAGAATATTCTTCCATCATAACTGGGAAGATATCTTATGACTCGTCATAAGATCGGAAGATCATAGATGTTCTAGACATAATGTTTGATGAGAATTATTGAGAGTGCTAATACCTTGAATGTTGTGATCAATCGAGGCTGTGCATCACTGAGTACCCCAAGCTCGGACGACCAGGTATCTCCATTGCAGCAGCAGTAGTGACCTAGTATTCCACCGATCAGTGCAGTGACGAGAGTAGACTGTTCAGTGTCCAAGCACTGATCCTTTGACCCTGCCAGCTTCCAAATAGTAAGAGCCAAAGCTGAGGCGATTCCACTGTTGGAGAACACTTGTATCCTGCATGTGGAAACAGGGATTACGCATTGTCAAGAAAGGGAGAGACTAAAGCCTTTAGTTCGCAAAATCGACACCATATGCTTAGGCAGCCAAGCAGGTTATGGTTCTTTGCTTAAGCTGGGAGGGAAATCAGCTCACCAGGAAACAGAAATCCATGGCCACATTAAGCCAAGAGCGGCATTTCAGAGATGAGATTTTTCACCTAACATATACTAGTTCATCATTCACCCTAATCTCACAGGATTCCAAGAAAAATGACAGAAAGAAGTGAAGTTCTGAGTAATCATCTTTGGTTTCTTCACAATCAAGAATCTCTCTAATGCAACAGCCACATCCAGATCAAAACCAGAGGAATTGCCTCACAAGTTCTTAATTATCTCAATCGCGGAAAGGAACCAGTTCACAGAGAGAGACGAGACTGAAGTACGAAACAGTACCAATTTCTTTGTCCGCCTTCCTTGAAATCAGCATCGATGCGCCTCTTCTTCTCTTCCCCAACCTTTGTGAGCTTCGAAGAACTGAAGAAGAAGACCAGCAGAATCGCTCCGAACCTGAAACGAAACCACGCGAGAAACGTAACTACCAGAGAGAGCGGGAAGCGAAGCGTATGATTTTCTCACCAACCAAACGGACAGCCAGAACAAGGAGAAATAAGAGAAACAAGATTCAGAGACTGGACCTGTAATTGACCGCGAAGTGAAGAGTCATGACGAGGAATCCAGCGAGTCCGCCGGACAAGTTGAGTGACTTCCTCCGATAAGCTCTGATCGCGACTGCGGAAGATATCAAGACGGCGACCAACGGCTGAAGAAAGACCATCTTCTCCATTCTTCGCGATAGGAATTTGACCGGCGACCAACAGAATCACTTCCGTTCTTGGGAGAGAGCAGAAGTATCTGCGAGATGGAGATGGCGATGGCAATGGCGATGGCGGTTAGTTTTTGGGGTTAGTTAAGAAGTGCGGGCAGTCCTTCCTTTGGCTTTCCCGTCGCTTGGTCTGATTCAGTCAACAATAGGACACTGGACTAAGTGACCAACTTCGCGAGCACTTACCATTAATAATACCAACTTTTAGAAGCCATAACCTCACGTTTTTGTGCGCAGTTCAGATGGGCATGTGGCTCTGGCTTTAGGGTCTCTCCTTCCCGGTATTGCTGATCCCTATCTTGCGGAGCTCCTAGCAGCTAGGGACGCCATCACTCTTGTAGTCTCCAAAGTACTGCCTCGGGTCATCTTAGAAGGAGATTCAGAGGTGGTGATTCGGCAGCTTCGTCAAGGTGCTCTCTCTGACTCCATTGGAGGTCCGGTGCTTCGGGATTGCTCCCTTCTCCTTTCTTCCGTCTCTTTTTCTTTAGAGTTTAGGGCAGTTCCTCGGACTGCTAACAGTGCTGCCCATAGAGTGGCGCAGAAAGCACTGTTACTCTCCCCTTTAGAGTTTTGCGCCTTTGATTTTGTGGGTTGGCTTCTCTGATGTATTGGGTTGGGCAGGGTCGGGGTAGATTGTATAGGTTTTCTCTTGACATTTCTTGGAAAAAAAAAAAAAACCTCACGTTTTTATCAATTTTCTTCTGAAAAATCAAATACGTTTTCTTAATTTTTATGGTTATCGTAATCTACTCAATCAGCGTAATCTTGTGGAAATGACATAAAAACAATTGTCATTACACCATTGGATCGTGCATCCCAGCATTAGATCCACATTTATGGTTGTGCATTACAAGATGTCTGATCCAACGATATACGTGACAGTAGCCGAATTCGTGAGCCTAACCACTATATCAGTCCGAAGAATATATATATAAAAGAAGTTTAACAAGACATGAGTGGGAGTGACGATTGACGAACCAGTTAGTATTGGCGTACATGATAAAGAGGGTTCTGAAAACTAGTCGGTTATGTACAGCGATCTTTCGACCTGAACAAGTTAAGTAACTTAAGATCAGACAGTGAGAAGCTATGGCTATGGTGAAAAGTAAAGCAACATTCAAGACGTTTAAGAACTTCATCTCCTTGATCATTTTTCGCCTGGTTAGAGGAATGCTGCGTGTAGCCAAAGTGCAACAGTCATTTCACAGGTGAGGGGGTATAGAAAGGTATGATCATCACATTCAACCATGTCTTCCTCTCCCTCTTCCCCTTCCACTGCCCCTGCCTCTCCTTCCTCTTCCTCTACCACCCCGCCGGTCCATGCCATGACCGCCGTCACCATCCCTCTTAAAGTTGAACATGGACATCCTAATGTCGGTTGCTACCGCGTCTTGTGGTCCTCTTTGCACCTGGACGAACACAGACATGAATGAGAATATGAGATCAAGGATTCACAAAGACAATGGTGAATATGAAGTACAGATGATGCGGATAATACGAACATGAGAATCTTCCATGTCGAGTTGGTTTTGGAGCTGCCATGCAAGATCCTCGTCATTGCTGGTATCTGGGAACTCGTTTCTGGTGTGTGGCTTAGCTCCACTGTTTCTATTTTGCCACTCCTCTAGCGTCCAAGTCTGAGATTCTTCCTCGTCATCTCTCCCCCTTCCTCTGTATTGTCCACGGCCTCTGGAGCGCCGGTCGAATTGTCTAGGAGGTGCCATCTTCTGGAGGAGCTTCTGAGCAGCAGCTTGGTTTTGCACAGGTGCTGATTCAGTCACTGAAAATCGCACATACATTGGTGTTGGTATTTGCAAACAGAATCTTAAGTTCACTAGAATTCTAGTTGTAGAGTGAAATTCTGCAACCATGTTTCACCTTATCCTAAACCTTTGATGCAATAACTACACATTCTTCTGGTTGGAACATGGTTCATAAGCACGACCTACCAATACTTTTCCAAAATACCACTCAAATTTGGGATCAGAATCTACACATTTCGACAAACCATCATTCAAACAACCCATAGAGATTGAGATACTAATCCATTGAGCATTGACCATTAGTATAAGAGTGGCACTTCCTTATCCTCCACGTCGAAATATAACATGTCCATAAATGTAGATCCCACCATTTTCTGGCAGTATTGACTTCGTAACAAGTGGAAATCATACAAAAAAGATTGGAACGAAAAGTAAGAGAAAAAACTGCACCTTCTTTTGGCCGAATGTATGAGGTGGTTGCCTTTGGTTCATTACTTGCTGCAAGTGGTGCTGGTTTCAGATTGCTAGTGCTGGTACTATCTGCAATGTTTTGAACTTCCTCAGAAGCAGAAGGGAATGTGGACTAGGAGGTAGAAGCAGAGTAACCTTCAAAATTAGCATGTAGTATTCGTTAGTGATTGATTCCCGGAAACAGCTAATTCCATAAGCATCTTCCCACAAGGACACCCCTCTGTGTAATTATTATCTTAATAGTTTAACCTGACCTGTAGAGTGCTCGTGAATAACCCTTCAAAACGAAACCAAAACAGACAGATACCACACATTAATTTACTCTTCTTTTTTCTCTTTTTGAAGAGGAAACCCAAATAGTGATGCTTCCTCCATGGCTACAGACTCATCTCAAACTTCCAATCAATGATGAAAACATCTCCGGTGTACAAATGTATCCTAAGTAGGATTATTCTAATCTTGCTTACTAACGTAAAATGGTTCTCTAATCTAGCAAAGTTCTGAAGTTACGTATAACTGTATAAGCTTCCCATTCGATGAAAAGAGAGCCATATTCACACTCCAGGAAAAAAAGGGTTTGTTAATGTAGAACAAAAGCAAACAAACGTTCTGACCTTCCCTTGGTCCCATTGCATATGGAAGAGGCCTCCACTGTGCATTTTCCTTGGCCTCCAGTGTTTTCACTTTGTCAACTACATTTTCTGCTTGTTTTATAACATTCTCTAACCCAACTTCAGGTTTCGTCACAAATCCTTCAGCTACAGGCATGCTGCTTTTTGAAATAGCCTGAAAGTAATCTACAAACAAAAGTAACTTCAGCCATTCTAACGAGACATGCAATCACACCAATTTGAACACTAAAATCTGAGCGATTACCAGAAACTCTGCTTCTCTGAGAAGAAGGACGAATGGAGGAGGCTCCAGCTTGCAACTTAGCAAAAGCAGGAGGGCCAGCAACACCGCCGTCCTCAGTCGGACGCAGTGAAGAACGCGAGAACACGGAGTACTTCTGGTTCATATGCCATTCATCATAAAGCGATTGAACAACGCCTCCAATCACAGTCATCACTTTAGGGTTCAAGCACAATATTCCACTATGAATCGTAGCTTTGTTCTCCACACGAACCTACCATTCGAAAACCGGCAAGAATTTACAACAGAATTCGATCATTCTGACCTCAAGAAAACAAAACAAACAAGCGGCTAGCAAATCGATACCTTGGCGCCGGGAGCGATATCATTCCCAACAGACGGCAAGTGGGAGTACTCAACCGCGGGTATCTCGCTGTGACCATCGGTGAGAACGAGCTTGAGCAGGCGCCGGTGGCCGGAGCTTGAAAATGCGTCTATGGTACTGACGGCTACGTCTCTCATGGAAGATATCTGAAGCACTTTGCGTCCTTGAAGATGAGAAGCTTTGCGAAACGAAATGGCGTCCGGCAATGACTTGCCGCCTATGGATCTAAGGTCCATATCGAGGAGTTGAGACTCGACGGAATCGGCAATTGTGGAAGCTTTGCCATCGTCGGATAAAGCTGATTGGACCAGGACAATGGCATTTACTTGATCGAGGTCGCCGATACACCAGCCTCTGGTTTTTAGGGTTTGTATGACGTCCTCTGCGATTTTGCTCGACCTCGAGGTCTCTCCCTCCATTTCTATGGCGTTTTGGTGTAACTGGGACTTGCAGAGAACTCTCTCCGTTTCGAAACGGGCCTCAATTTATTTATCAATGAAAAAGTCCCCCGTCTTCATGATTGACGAACTTGAGGCCCGGCCCGTTTTGAGAAAGTACTTTATCCTTTGTATAATTTTGGGTTAACAATAATTTAGCCAAACCTTTTCTGAAATACTTTTTATCAGTCAAATTTATTGAATTATTAATAGTTAGTCAAAAATTTTGTAATACATCAAAATATTAGTCATTTTTATATTATCGTAATAATTTTATAATTTTTTTCTTATTTAAAATACTAAAGTCTTGGAAAGTTGACTTTCATGTGTCTCTTCCAAATCAGTATCATATTGGCAAGTCAATATTACTAACAAAATTATTAAATTATTAGTAATTTAATAGGTTTGACTAATTAAAAAATAATGCGGGAAAGGTTTGGCTATAATTAGTGGTTGCCCTATAATTTTTTGGTAGAATCCTTGCTTAACATTTCGAACTTATGGTCACTTATCCTTGGACTATTTCATTGTGAGCACAACTTCTTATTTTTTACAAAAATTCTTTCATATTATCCTAAAACAAGTTTTGCCAGTTAAGTTCGGGTTCTTGTGAACCATATATCTCGAAATAAACCACTATACGGCTTGATTTTTTTTTTTTAATCAGCGGAAGTCTTTGGTTCATTTTTTAAGGGTAAGTTTGCCTATGTTTTTTTTTATGATGTGAGATGTTTTATCAAAATTCAAATATCTAAGAATCATCGTTTGTCGGAGATTTTATATATGTGCGTGGTGTGAAAGTTGGTTGCAGTTGATCCAATCGATAAATAAAAATTAAATACCATTTATCAGGTCAATAAGTGAAATCATCAACAAATGGTGTTAAGTGACTTATGACACTGCTAAACCTAATTGTAAAATCAAGTCAAATTAGATGACTGATGCAAAACAAATTTTTACGTTTCATCGAGTTATTATGAGGATGGATAGTCGGCCATTTTGGATGACCAGGGCGGGAAATGAAGATTTAAATTATTCGTACAGAGTAGAGTTTGTTAAAATAATTAAACGACATAACCAAAATCATCAATGTAGTGACTAGTGTGAACTTGTATAGTAAAAGTATAAAAAAAATATATTATAATGTATATATAAGACTACAACTTATACAAAAGTAAACAAGTCAAAGTCATCCTGTATACAAACCATATCTTAATTCTTAAGAGTATAAAATCCAATTGTATAAACTATACAAACCAATATACAAAGAATACAAATCATATTATAAAACTATATAAATTATATAATTAAAATTAATAAGTATACAAATCATATACAAAGCACACAAACAATACAAATTATTACTATTTACAATACAAATTGATGGAACTTGTATAACAAACTGGATTATTTAACACTACATACTGACACGCTAAAACACAACACCAAACTGCGACCAAGTGTAATCGCAGTCCGAAAATGCAGTAACAAGCAAGCTCTAATGTCAACCCGGGGTCTAGATCTACTGCCTACTCCGTGAATATCAATTATCTAGCTAACTAAGTCAAGTGATTGTTGATTTAAGTAAAAGCAGTAAGAAAGCAGGAATTGGTTCGGTTTTCTGAAGCAAAGGAAGAGTCACTCGGGAATGAATCCCCCTAGCTCCTTGGTTAGGTTCCAGTTGTAATTACTTTTGATTGCTTTACTGCTGATTATACTGCGGAAGATTAGACAGTAGCTTGGAATCTCTTAAGCTGACCAAGTGACACGCTAAAACACAACACCTAACAATGGCCAAGTGTAACCAATGAAAGGGACTGCAGTATAGTGGCACAAGTAATAAATATCGAATCCACGGGTCTCTAGAGTTACTATTACTCAGCTTCAGTTCATTATCTAGCAAACTAGATTAAGAATGGATTGATAAACTACTCTACTGACTACTCTACTAATTACAAGTTGGGAACTCACTTAGGTATGATTCCCCCTAGCTCCTCAATTAGGTCCAAGTTGCAATTACCTTTGGTTGATCTACTGTTGATTAAACTGCGGAAGATCCTAAATTAGCTTGGAATCTCTTAAGCTGACCAAGCCCTCTCAGTCTAACTACCCGGCAGACGACTAGTCTTCACCGGGATAGAAAGCTGAGGCTATGAACACAGAACTCCACTACAGGAATTGGATTCTAGTACAAAGCAGTAGATTGACTAACTCTCGTATAACCAATTCACCACTATCAATCAAGGAAGCTCTCTTAACCTAATCAGATTCTATCTATCATAGGTTAAAGCAGAAATCAAGGGAATTTGATCAAGATTCAATTGACTCAATAAATCATGCCTCAATCGATTATAATCAAACAATAAAGCATCCAAAACTTCATACAAGAAAGATCCTAACTCATGGAACTAGGGTTCCTCAAAACCTAAGTGAAGGGAAGTTACTCCATAGAGAAGAGAGAGACTGCAGAAATCTGATCTAGATCTTCAATCTCCATCTCCAAGCTTGATTCCTGAGCTCCAATGGCGAAGAAATCCTCCAAAATAGCTCCAAGAATGTTCCCAAGTCGCTCTCTCTCTCTAGGGTTCGTCCCTTGGGTGTTTGGGATCCAAAACCCAGCTCTCTCCTCTGTTTTGGCTGAAATCTGCTTAAAAACCAGAATTCCCCGACTCGCACGGCCAGGGTGCACGGCCGTGCAGATCACCCAGCTCTCGACCTCAGGCTTCTCGCACGGCCAGGATTGCACCTTGCACGGCCGTGCGGGTTTTCTGCTCTGCCCGTGCGTGCTCTCGCACAATACCGCACGGCCAAACTGGTCACTTGCACGGCCGTGCGGGTTGTGGGTGTGCCCGTGCAACTACCTCAGAACCTCGCCATGCGTCCGATCCTCGTCCAATCGACCCCAAAACTTGCTCCCAAGCCTCCATTCACGTACTAGGACCTGAAATATCACAAACAAGCACAACCTAGCGTGAAATCGGCCTAAAACACGAGAATCAATACCTCAAACGGAGTAAGAACGGGGGTAAAAACATGTGTAAATAACGAGTCATCAAATTCCCCCACACTTAACTGTTTGCTTGTCCCCAAGCAAACCTAACTCAAACCAATGCAGCTCTCTAGACCTCTATAGCAACAAACAACCCCGATCGTCGGTAGAGGATTTCCTAGATCATATAGCAGCTTACGAGGTCAACTGGTCTTCTAAGACGTTCCCTATCTCTCTCAATGCGAGTACTAGACTCAAGCCAGGATGACACGCCAAAACACAACACCAAACTGCGACCAAGTGTAATCGCAGTCCGGGAATGCAGTAACAGGCAAGTTTAATTATCAACCCGGGGTCTAGATCTACTGCTTACTCCGTGATTCTCTATTATCTAGCAAACTAATTCGAGTGATTGTTATTTAAAGCAAAAGCAGTAAGAAAGCAGTAAATGGTTCGGTTTTCAAAAGCAGGTAAGAGTCACTCGGGATTGAGTCCCCCTAGCCCCTTGGTTAGGTTCAATTGCAATTCCCTGGGTTGATTTACTGTTGATTAGACTGCGGAAGATCCGACAGTAGATTGGAATCTCTTAAGCTGACCAAGCCCTCTCAGTCTAACTACCCGGCAGACGACTAGTCTTCACCGGGATAGAAAGCTGAGGCTATGAACACAGAACTCCACTACTGGCGTCAAGAACACCAGTACAAAGCAGTAAACTGGCTAACTCTCGTATAGCCAACCTCCTACTATCGAATGAAGAGGCTCTAACAACCTAATCAGATTCTATCTATCTATCTCAGATTGAAGCAGAAATTGAGACAAGCTGATCAGACTCAAATCAATTCATGAAACATGCATCATTCGATTAAAATCAAACAATAATATCATCCCAAGTCATTACAATCAAATCCCTAACACAAGGAACTAGGGTTCTTCATACCCAAGTGAGAGAAAGGTTCTACTCCATAGAGAGAGAAGAGAAAACAGAAATCAGAGTAGCCATACTCATAAAGATGAGGAAAATCTGCTCTGGGATGTCAATCTTCACTCCTCGGGACGCAATCTGGGCTTCAATGATGAGAAATCCACTCCAAAATAGCTCCTAGGGTTTGTTCTTCGCTCTTTCTCTCTCTAAAACTCTGTTTTTGCCCAGAAAATCGAATTCCCCTTCCTTGGCTCGAATCTGCCTCCAAAAACCCGACTCTGGGCGAATTACGGGCAGAATTACGGCCGTAATCACGTCCTGCCCGTAATTCGCACCAAAACGCACGTTTCACTTAAGCTGCAGGGGGAGGAGATACGCCCGTAATTTCCCAATTACTGCCAGTAATTTGGGAATTACGGCCGTAATTCTTGGGATCTTGCCCGTAATTTTATCACCGCGAAGGAATTCTGGGTAGAAGGCTCGGCCAATAAATTACGGGCATGCCCTGGCCAATTACGGCCGTAATTTGGCAGGGGCTGCCCGTAATTCTGTCTCCGCTCCTGTTCAAAGCTTCGTTTCTCCCTCATCCGGACTCCAAATCAGTCGCCGTTTGAACCCAGACGCTCGTAGTCTCGTCCTCTTTCTTTTCATGACAAGCTTGCATGATTCTTTGTCCATAAAGTGAGGTAGAAATCCATTCTTCTTCAGGTCATACCCGAGTTTCTTCTCCCGAATCGTCAATTGATCTCTGATTGACTTGAAACTTGCGCCTATGCTTCACTTTATGTGCTAGGACCTGAAATGTGACAAAGGAACACAACCTAGCGTAAAATAGGCCAAGGAACAATCAATTCGAGCCAAAATGGGCAGGAAACCAGAGTGAAAACACGTGCAAATACGATGCTATCAAATTCCCCCACACTTAACTGTTTGCTTGTCCCCAAGCAAACCAAGTACTACACAAGGTAAGCTCACATATTTCAGTCAACCAACATTGGGGACAAGTCATAAAGGCACAGAACACGTGAATCAAACTGGTTTTCAAACATCAACACATGAACAACTTTAATAGCAACCTGGACAACCACCACAA